TTTACCAATAAACATTGTATTAGGTTTGAAACGATTATGTTTGTGGGGATTACCACATTTGTGGGGTTTAATAATACACTACTTGCTTGTTCCCATTGCTTTGTCTGGAATGTTCCATGGCATGACATTAAACATATTTATTATTTACATGTTTCTATTACTCATAAATAGAGTAATTCCTTGTGTGAAAAGGGGTGACTCTCCACAGATCTGAAGTGTAATGTAGTGTAGTTCTGTAACCTGCTTGTGTCCTTCATGATAGATCGGTTTCACGTACACTGTGGAACATTCTACTCAAAGCAAAAATATTTCCATGGTGGAAAAGCGCAGTATGTTTTGTTCCACCTTGTGATGTCATGAGCAGTAGTTTCACATTAAAGTGTGTTATCCAAATTATTATAGTGAAGATGCATGGAGTTTGAAAACACAGTGGAACATTTCCTGCATTTTCCACATTGCCTAGTATGAAAGAGGTGAGTGTGTCAGTGATGTTGGTGGTGAGAGGGGCCGATGGTGCAGATTGGCAGCCTCACTTCTGTCAGTCTGTCCCAGGGCAGCTGTGGCTACAATAGCGGTTTACCAACATCGAGTATGGAGTGGATGAATAAAGCTCTGTAAAGCATCTTTGAGTGTTATAATTATTATTATGAAGTTAACGATTGCTTGACTATTAAAACTTGCTACCCAACTACAATCATTTATTTCTGAACTATACAAACTACATTATTTTATCTTATTTTATTTTGCTTCCTGATTAAAATGAATAGGACAGATTGTTTACATCGGTACGATGTGAAGAACAATTCTAGCACTCGAAGCCGGTAAAGGTCCTGTCTCAAGTAATTAGAATATATAAAAACTTCACTTTGACACAGCAACATTGTTCTAAATCAGAACAGAGCCTTCAGCTTCCTGTGTCTTGTACGATCAACTTCAAGATCAACAGAACAGTACATTTTAATTCAGCGTGAATAGACTCTTTCCTCACCTCTTACTTTTCAACAACACTTCTCAACATGACACCATTTGTTGTTGCAAAGGTAATTCTGATTGTCAGTCCAAAAATCACATTTCAGAATCACCCAAAGCGTGACCACCTCCCTCTAGTGCGAGCAGTACACTGTGGTTTAAGATGCATTCAGGGGCCGTCCGTGTTTACAAGCTCCTTCTCATTTACATTTAAGGCACTGTGCCACTGGCCCCACTCCGAGGCGCCGGTGACTGGGCAGATATGTGCTCAGATTGGTAAACATCTCCAGAGGGTTATAGGATTTTATTTTACAGATAAGGAGACAAAAGTGGAACCAAAAGCAGCCCTTCCTTCAAGATGCTCAATGTTTACAGTAAAAGAAAGATTGAATTAAAACAGTACGAGTGCAGAATATAAAGTGACAAATAAATACTGCCAGTGCCATCGTGTCTGTAGGCAAGACACTTCAACCAGCTTCAAGCCTCTAGTGTCTGATATTATGTCTAATGTGGAAGTCGGCCCCAAATACATCCATATGACAGCCCCAGTGAGCTTAATTTGACTGGAGATGTTTTTACTCAGTCTGAAATGTTATAAAGTATGGCAAAGTTTATGGTGAGCATCTTACAGGACACATCTATGGAGAGGCGACCCTACTCACAGTAAGAGTGCATGTTTTTCAAATTTCTTTTAGCAACAAAAACAGTTATTAGTACAATAAATGCGAAATAGAAAAGTTGAATGTGTGTATGGAAACAAGCAGAAAATATAACCATAGCATACATTATACTGTATTATTATTATCATGTCAGTCTCCAATTCTAATTTTAAAAATGCTTGTTTCTGTACAAATATTTTTCTTTTACATTTTGAACATTAATCATGCTCAAACTCTTCAATGGCACATTTTTATTTGAATTTGGTGGTGATTTTGAGTATCAAGCCCATTACTTACTATCAAAATCAAGCTGGAAATTTTAGTATTGTGACAACTTTACTTCTGCTTCTGCTACTACTACTCATTATTAAAAGTAGGCTATAGTTTTGATAACTATTCTCTTGAAAGTTGTGAACGCACTGCCAGTATTAAACATGATTTTACTATCTATTATATTTCTGTGCAAGTAGTAGAAATGACCAAAGCTAAAACAGTTCTTAAACAACACCTGTTTCCATGTAGATGTTGCAGACTGATGCATAAACAAGTAATTTGACCAAGAGCTGGTAATGACTCTTCTAAATAGCTAATAAATGCCATAAACAATGTGTTGTAACTATAGGAACAAACTGCAGACAGACTGCTGCAGTAGCTCAGTGGTTAGTGGGAGTTTTTGCCTATTCAAAAGGTGATGGTTTGATCCCCGTATGTCCTTGGGCAAGACACCTCAACCTAAACCTTCACTGAGTACAGAGTGAATAAATTATGTAATAAAAAACATATGCAATAATTTTTAATTAGTCTTGTCAACAGAATTTGTCTCTCTATAGTTAATGGTAATTGCTGCTTCCTCCTCCTTCAGAGATGTATAATCAATTAAATGAGTGTTTCTTATTTTAATGTCATGGCCACACTTGTATGAAATGAATTCTGGATGTATCATTTACCAAATAGAGCTTCAAACCTAGAGGATGATTAAATTAGAAAATTACATGCACACAAGTTATATAAGATAAACTATCAGAGACATTTTCTCATATGTTTCCATGGTTATTTACATTGTCAATTCTTCCTGAGGGGATCTAAACTATGATCTATAAACACAAATTGTGTGTAAGATAGACTGTGAAACATATGTTTTATTTTTCCGCTTCTTCAAAAATAGCAGCCCTTTGCTTTTATAACTGCTTTGCACATTCTTGGTATTACCTGACCCTGACAAGGCACGAACATCATTGAGAGAAGGCCAAGGGTTTGCATAACTGTCGACAAAGCAAAAGGGGGCTGAGTTATTTTAATACAAATTATAAAGAAAAGATTTCCTCTTTATATTTTGCACCAAATATTTGATGTCTTCAGTATCTAAAATGTAGAAAATAAACAAAACGAACAAAAAAACAAATGTCCGGACTTTTGACTTGTGGTGCTTCTACACTACACAGTAAATTTCCCAGTGTAAAAAAATCCATAGTAAAAGTTTTTTTACTCTTTAAGAGTATATATTACAAAAATGAGAGTGATACTCCCTCTAGCGTCCTTGTAAAAACACAGTGTAAGTCCTTCAGTGTCATAATTGCACTGAGAAGCTCCGCCCCCTCAAACTCCTCTCAAACGTTTTCGAGTCCGCCATTTTTCCCTCCTCGCTTCACTTCGGCAAGTGGCTGCTAAAAGTCTCAGGTAAGTAGTAGTTTGGCAATTTTAAGTACATTTTAAGTATAAATGTGCCAGAATGGCTGGGCATGGCATAGTTATGCGTCTACTATGTGATATTTAAGACAAATTAAGCGGTTATATCGAGCCCGCGCGAGGTGCGGGTCGGCGGGCGGGCTAGCTAGTGTCGGGGGAGAAAAAACGGACACTCGCAATTTGAAAATGGTTCCAAATGGATAATTTTATTGTAAGGATTAGCATTGAAGAGGTAACTTTCAAGCATCACCGTCAAAAATAAGCATTTATTTTCTGTTCAATTCATTTCAGTAGTGACAATGACCAGGAATTAGACGGAGCCAAACACTGCTACGTTAACTCCCCGTCTCCGTCTATATCATGGTCATAGTCGTCAAATGTCTTCATTTGCTACGTGTTGCGACGAGTAATGATGTGCGTGACCTGAAACTATAACGTGAAATACTGTTTTGCATTGTTTTACTAATAAGTAGTTATAGGATCGAGCACAATTTGATTGAATCTGGACTGATAAAGAAGCGTAGCAGAGGCGGAGCAGGACGTAGTTTGTGACAAACCGGAGTTTTCGTGAGGATGTGCTCCGCTCATAATAAGCGCAATCGAATCGCGCCTGAGCACGGAAAGTCAAGCTCAGTATATGTGTCTAGTGTGAGTGCAAACGATCCATTTCCAGAACGGTTCAGTTTTGACCCGGTTGGGGGAGGTGAGCCAAAGTACGACACGTTATCTTGTTTACGCGCACACGCACGACTTTAGTGCGCGAGCCCGGTCAGGGCTAGGCATGGAGGTGAGCCAACAGGACTCGTATCGGCGTCACTCTTTTTAGATATTTCATCTTCTTGAACGTAATTTCCCGGCTCGAGCGTTAGAACATCAGATCGCCGTATATACGGTCTATGCTCGTCACGTACAGCGCTTTGTAATGACGTCATCGTACCGGTGAAGTGTTTTTATCTGTGCAGGTGCGCGTGCAGGCAACGAAATCCCCCACAGTCGTGCCTGAGGACTGGAGTGCTGGTGTGAGTGTGTCCAAAATAACGGTTGAACTGTATAGATTTATATTGTGTTTTGGCATTAGGGCATGTTCTGTCTTCTTTTTTCCAGGGTAAATGCTGCTAAACGTCCAAAAGTATGTTTGAATTCATGAGCCGAATCTGAGAGCATTTCTGGATGCAGGTAAGAAATATATAGGTTTCAACTTGTATCTGGTAGTTAATGTGAACAAATGTAAATTCCACAAGAAATATGCATAAACTGCTCAAATATCAGAACAGTACTAATCTTTACTTTAGCTGTGGTGCTGGCATTACAGCAACAAATTACACTGAAGAACAAAACAGTATAATTTTATTTTAATTTAGTGTCTAATTGCCATTTCTGATAGCATTAAATATAGCACACTGAGAAATCTGGTTGCAAATGAAACATCGCTTTGAAGTGTCTAAAACTTTCTGTGTGTATGGTAATAGTGCTGCCCTGAATACGTTTTTTGTTCTGACAGCCCAACATGTGGTTTGTTATCTAAAAACAATTGGGAAACCCTGTAATATTAACATGTGCAACAGAAAAATATATGTATTCTAATAATTTTATTGTCCCCAATGCATCACCATTGTTCAGTGGTTGAAACACATTTTATTTACAAATTGTTCATACTTTCTTTTTAGTATTTTTTAAGTTTGGTGTTCCAGCTGTGACAGAAGGTGTGCACGTCTATGACAGTTCTGGAACTGAGCTTGATGACGATGTTTTTGAGGATGTGGTAAAGGATCCTCAAACTGGTGTTCTGACCATCACATATGATACTGGTTCGTATTATATGTATAACATGATTAGACATTGCTTTGTCCACCCTTTAATTGTTTTTCATAACTCACTGATGGTCTGAGAACACAATATGTCTTTAATGTGTGTGTTACTTTTCTTCTTACAAAGGGAATGCTGAGACTGTCGCTTCTCCTGGGCCACGTGCTTCTACATCCAGCAGTTGTGACTGCCAGGACACAATCATCCTTCCTGTTAGTTCTGCTTCAAGGCATCAGTGATTGGGCGACAAGGCTAAGCATGTATGACTTGAGTGAAGGTGTACAACTTGAAAACTGTACATATAGAATAGCATATGCTGTACTTTTTGAAATGCTTGATTGTAATACCAAATTTATCTTTCCTTTTTATGTAGTTGGTGAAAGACATTCTTTCCAAAAAGCCTTAGGGCTAGGTTAATGCAGTACAATCGAACAAAGTCTTTGGCAGTTGACACCTGGAAAAAAATGGGGAACATTCTTGCTGCTGATAAAAATGGGTATGTTTTTATTTATTTATCTGCAGCAATTAATGTACAGGATTGGTAATTTATCTGTCTCATTTTGCAGTATATCTCCACTCAGACAAGTGAAAGAAAAATATAGGGATAATAAAAGGATTGTGAACTTGTTCCCCCATCTCTGGGACCCCTTCTCAGAAAATGGACATGTGAGTTATTTTTCACTATATTACCTTTTTTTCCCCTGATAAACCTTTTATTCTCTAAAATGTATGTATTTATTTATTTATTTTTTTTTGTTACACCCAGGAGCATTATTATGATGGTAGAAGTGACAGGGACTACTTGACCTGGAGGCTTAAATACATTCAAAGATGCAATGCTCAAGAAAGAAGATCAATTGAAGGTAACTTTAAAATACATCAGACAAAATATATTAAATTTGATGTCTGTTTTGTGCTGCAGTTATCTTGATTATTTGTGCATTCCAGTCTTCTCCACTGACTGAATGAGCGGTAAAGAACTTTTGGGAGGACCAACTGCCATATGGGAGTCCCAGTATCTTCCAGAGGCACCAGTGACTGAAGAAGAATATCGAGAGGCCATGTCACTGATGAGACACTCCGCTGATGAAAACACAGTGAAGAAGAAAATGAAGCAAAATTTTGCTCATTGTCAAAGCATGGTCCTGGACCCCCAGTTGTCAAGCAGCATACTGTCACACTTGCCTCGATTCAAAGACATCAAAGGACTGGTAATTATCAATTACAATACATTTTTAAAAAGGCACAGTCAGCTGCAAATTCATGTAGGCCTGAACTATTCTGTTTTCTCAATGCAGATTGAACAAGATTTTATTCTGATGTTTGTTGAGGATGTATCTGGAAAGCTTCTGGAGAAATGGCCAGCAATGTTCAAGGAGAAGATAATCAAGCAGTGCATAAAGCTTCCCTCCACCCCAAAGCTGGATGACCTCCTGTTGGCTGCAGATCCTCAGGAGGATGATGCTGGTGGTGCTGACTTTGGTAAGTTATTAGCTAACTTTTCAAATTCTTTGTTAATATGCAAATGTCACATGAGAATTAAAACTCAATTCAAAACTAACCTCTGTTTTTAAGTAAAGTAATTGTGTGCTTTTGTTTTAAAGCTGGCTTAGTGAATTTGCTTCAATTTTGCTGCTTCTGCTGCATCTTGCTCAAGGCTGTAATAAAATGGAGAAGATGTCAGAATTTCAAGCAGAAAAACATCTTGTGGTCTTCAAGAAGGTGTGCAGAGTTTCTTGATCATATCATTGAAATTGATGTTTGTTTCTAATCATTATTATGATGTCATTAACCGGCGTGCAGAATTGCCTCCATTTTATTTCTGTCTACAGATCACTTTTATGCTATTATTTAAAAACTAATCATCTTGTCTTTGTTTTTCAGTGTGGCACAAGTATTGAAGAGCATCTCGACAATATCACTTGAAGCACTCGCCTTGCATTTGGTACCCAAAGGAACAGGATCAGCCAGTACTTCATTATCCTGGACAAGACTCATCCCCTGTATGTCTAACTTTTCTTTAAGTGTTGAATTGTTCAAGACACTTTTTGTGCACATCATACCACACCATGTTGTACAACATGTACACATTCATTCAGACCACAATTTACAATATTGATGTCAGCAAGGTGAGGGAGATACCTCGTATTGCAGAAATAAGAGCAAGGTTACTTCATTAATGTTCATGTTTCTATGAAGTGCATTGTTTGCTGTGCTGAGTTTGAGTTCAAATATGCTTGTTAGTCATATTAAACAGTTTCATGGGTTTCTTCCAGAGACAACCCTTTGCCTTAGATGTGTTCAGGATTGGATTATGTAGGTTCCTTCTCTGGATTTAGAAAGCACTTAAATGCCAAGCACATTGACCATACTTTACTAGCTACTGAATTGGCTGATGTTGTCTGAGATGTTGGTGTTAAAAGTCCTATATTACGAACACTGACTCTTGTGAGATTTAAGCCATGTTCTAATGCTGTCACCTCCTCATAAATGCCTTTAGTTGTGTTTCATTTCATTCACACATGTTTGAGTAACCCTTTATTCTCTTGGTCTGTCTACATCTCCATTTCTCAAAATGTTCTGTTCCACCTTGTCATATCATGAGGTGGTAGTTTTCAAGTTAACAGCTCCTTTTATCTTTAGTTCAGTAGACAGGAAGTTTCAGAGCTCAAATGGTTCTAGTGAAGGTGTATGGAGTTTAAAAACACAGTGGAGCACTTCATGTATTGCCACATGACATCACAAAGTGGAACAGTATGTTGTGAATGGAACAAAACACAACTCCAGGTATATTTGTAATGAGGACAGAACATAGATCAGAAAATAGTGTAATATGGGTCCTTTAATTGTCAAAGTGAGGCACACACAGAAGCCATTTCTGTGACACTATTTTGACCAACATTTCTATGCTTTTGAGATCCAACGGCATCCAGACAAAGTTATAAAAGTTTTAACAGTGAACAAGTTGTATTACTATAAGCCATTTAATGTTCAATTGAAGTGTGTAACATTGGATTCATCCAAGTATGTTGTACCTTATTTTAATTTTGTATCTTTGGTCAATGTTTTATTTAAATGTTTTAACATTAATTAATTGACATATTTGCAATTTGTGGTTTTATTTAGTAGTGTAAATTTCAATCTGCTACTCGATAAATTAGTGAAATTAACTCTTGCAAGAGTAAATATGATGATTAAATTTGACCCTTACAAAGAGTAATTTTTACTCTATTGTAGTGTTATATGTGTTATTAAAATTACTCTAAGTGTCATTATTAACAACACAACAGAGTAAAAAATGAACACCACTATTAGTACTATTCACTCTGTGTAGAGTAAATAATCTGCCAGAGTAAAGTTCTGAAAACACTACAGAGTGTCATCTTACTCTTTAAGTGTAATTTTGACACTGAAAATTTTTACTCTGAAGCTAGAGTAAATCTTACTCTGTACAGATAAGGACCATATACACTCGGAAATAGAGTAAAATTTTACTCTAAGTGTTAATTTGACACTTGAAAATTTACTGTGTACAAGTCAAAAGTTTGGACACTCATTCAATGCTATTATTTTTACATACATATATATATATGTATATGTTTAATACTTTCTACATTTACATACAGAAGACATCAAATATATGAAGTAAAATGTATGGAATTAACTAGCTAAAACATTAAATAACTCTTGAATAATATACTGTATATTAAAAGTCTTTTATTCAAATCCTCAAATCAGCCACCCTTTGCTTTATCAAAAAATATTTAGCAGTTATTTAATTTTTTTTTCTTTTTTTTTCTTCCATATATCTTGTCTTCTGTATGTATCTAAAATGTAGAAAGTGGTAAAAAAAAAAAAAAATTTAAAAAATTGAACCTTTGACTTCAAGTGTATGTTTCAACAGCACCAGACAAAATTTTGGACACAGTCTTCCATTCAATGTTTTTTATTTATTTATTTATTTTTATTGTATTATTATTTTTAGAAAATTACATTGAAAAGGAGGGTGTGTCCAAACTTTGGACTGGTAGTGCATATACTGTATTTGCTTTTATATAGATCTAAAATGATTAATAGCAAAATACGGACTTGTCAAAGCCCGATGTTGTCAGATCTCAGAAGCTCAGCAGGGCCGGGCCCGGTTGGTGCTTAGGTGAGAGACCGCTGGGAAAATCAGGTGCCACATGACATAAGACTCACAAGAATCCATGATAAACAGCTCGTCGTCATGGTATAATGATTCAAAATAATTCATTCTTTGTTTCCATGGTAACACCTACTTTAAAGCTTCCATTGCTTTGGCATCATAAGCCTCCATGGCTTTGGAGTGTGACATCACAAAGACTTCAAAAAGAAGATTGTAAAGGTGGCTGACAGTCTGTACTTAGTCACTTGAAGTGATTTGCAGATCTTTTCACAGGAAAATGTCTACTCAGGACTGCGAATACAGATTTGGTGTTTTAGCCCCGAGGGTCCCCTTGGAATTATTACACAGGGGTCGGAGAAAATTCCCTGAGGTTGGTAGATGTAACCAACTCAGATCAACTGGAAGCAGTCTATCTGAGTATGAAAAAAGACCCCAAAGCCAGCAGAGTGACCCCACAGAACTCCGAACTCAAGTGTCTAAAGTGCGCCTGTCCCCCGTACAGCCCACTGGGCCACTTCCCAGTCTGGAGAAAAACTTTGTGTCAGTCGCTTTACGGGCAGCTAATATGATTGACAGGGATTGCTTGGATTACATGGGGCAAGCCAAATGCAATGAAAGACTGCACCGGAACCTGAGTGATAGCCGGCTTCTGGAGAATATGGGATTGGACAGTGCCTCAGTCAGCTCAATGAGATCCAACTACAGTGTGCTAAGCCCCATCAAGGCAAAGGACGTGAGGAACAGAAGCTTTTTGGAGGGTAGTGTGCTTGGAAGTGGTGCCCTTCTTGGAGCAGAGGAGTTGGACCGCTACTTTCCTGAAAGACAACTGGGAATCTATATTGCCACATGGAACATGCAGGGAGAAAAGGGGCTGCCAGTCAACTTGGATGATCTCCTTCTTCCAACTGATTCAGAATTTGCACAGGACATTTATGTTATTGGAGTTCAGGAGGGCTGCCCAGATAAGAGGGAATGGGAGACCCGCCTTCAAGAGACTCTGGGGCCCTACTACGTCATGTTGTATACAGCTTCCCATGGTGTTTTATATCTTAGTATCTTTGTTCGAAGAGATCTCATTTGGTTTTGCTCAGAGGTGGAACATGCCACAGTCACAACCAGAATCATCTCTCAAATTAAGACAAAAGGAGCTGTTGGAATCAGTTTTACCTTATTTGGGACTTCCTTCCTGTTTATAACATCACATTTTACATCTGGGTATTCCAAAGTCTATGAGAGAATTCTAGACTACAACAAAATCATTGAAGCTTTAGCTCTCCCAAAAGGTCTTCCAGATACCAACCTATACCGCTCCACACCGTCTGATGTCACCAAAAGATTTGATCAGGTATTTTGGTTCGGAGACTTTAACTTTCGACTCAGTAAAAATAGAGTGGAAATTGAAAACATTATAAATCGAACTACAGACAAAGACATGGGCTCTCTGCTGGAGCATGACCAACTCTGCAAGGAAATAAAGGATGGTTCAATATTCAAAGGTTTTCAAGAGGCCCCAATACACTTTCTACCAACATACAAGTTTGACATAGGCTGCGATATCTACGACACATCTTCCAAACAAAGAACACCATCATACACAGACAGAATCCTCTTCAGGAGCAGACAGTCTCATGACATTCAGGTCATTAAATACACCAGTTGCACCAACATCAAGACCTCAGACCACCGGCCCGTCATCGGAGTCTTCCAGGCCAAACTGAGGCCAGGCAGGGACAATATCCCTCTAGGAGCAGGACTGTTTGACCGTGACCTTTACTTGGGGGGCATCCGGAGAAGACTAACGAAGAAGAAGAAGCTGAAGAGGAAGGAAGTTATGAAAAACCAAAGCAGCAGCTCCATCTGCACCATCTCTTGAATCAATTCTGTTTGAACCAGAGAGGGATCACATTTTGGCCTAGGGAGGACCTAGAATATCAGGAACGGACTTAATATACATGGGTATACAATGGTTTCACATTTATTTAACTCTTAACTACACAACAGCAGGAAATGGTACATGAGCAGACAGCTCCCTCTGTTGGATCTTGGTTGAACTAAAATGCATTGGGAACTTGAGGGCAGGGACCTTGAGAACAGACACTACAGCAGCTTTAAAACTCTCCACTTTGCAAAGGCAAATGGTAGTTTTGTGGTTGCCATGTTCAAATAATAAAGAATCACACTACGTAAACAAACTGTATTTAAAGGCCATATGTTTATTATATTTATTTTATTTACATTTCTTTTCTTTACAATCAACTATAAACAAAAATTGACAAATAAGTTTGTAAATAAGTGTGACAAGTATGTTATGTTATTAATTTATTTATTTATTTACTATAAATAGGCCTAAAAGGAAGTCCTACTGTTTAAATATGGAATAGCTCAGGCATTATTCAATTATTATGAAATTGATTTTTGTGTGTTGCCATCTCTGATCCTCTTGCTCACACAGTGGGCTAGTTGACCCGACACCAGTCTGCCAGTCTACTGTCAGTCCAGCTCTTTACAAAAACTGCAGGAAGTGCATGGTTCTCCTGCACACTACAGACTTTACACGACGGTACAGCTACCGTAATCTAAAGTCTAGTTTTTGTGTCTGGTGAAACAAAGAGGAGGGTGGGATTTAGTGGAAGGTACAAGGCATCCGGGGATGCCTGAACTTCAACGGTAAAATGCACTAGAGCTTGTCATTGGTTATGCGTCTGAGCCGTGTAGTGCTCACTGCGGGTGCCTCTGGTAGTTTTGCAGATTTAAAGGCAAATTCGAGGGAGCTTCAAAATTTTTTTCTTAGCTTTTTCCTTACCTAAAATAATTACATTTGTACGAGCGGGAGTGGAGTTTATGACAATGTTTTTACGATCTAATTCTCTAACTTGACATGCTATGTTTGATTCTTTTTTCCAAATAGCTTTTTCAGACAATTTACCCTGTGGCCTGCTTGAGGTTGTTTGGGCAAAACGTTTCTGTGTTTGTGCAAGTTTTACATTGTCATTTTCAATTTCTGTAAAGTACAGATGGCGTCTTTCATGATCTTTCAGTCGCCTAGTCTCAAGAGAACTGGCTCTTGGAACAACCTCGTTCTTGCATCTCCCTGTGTATAGAAATAGTCTGTTGTCTTGAGTGTCGTGTCTGTGTTTCTGGGCAAGAAGAGGGAACACAAGGCGATTGTCAGCTACTGCTTGCTGGATCTCCTGCTCCACATATTCCTCATATGGATCATTTTCCGCAGATCGTCTGAGAGCTTCATTCTTTTCAGCCTCCAGCTTCCTGCTCTTAGCCAACAAAGTTCTATGTTGGAGCAGTTGTGCTTTGGCCTCCTCTCTATACTTGAGTCTCCTCTCCATAGCTTTCTGTCTCTCTTCTTCCAATAGAGCCAGTTCTGCTTCATTCTGCTTTTTGAGGAGTTGGACAATGTTCTCCTGCTGCGCCTTCTTACGCTCCACTTCAAGGACGGCTTTGTGGCGGAGAGATTCTTTGTTATAGTCAATAACTGCTTTTGGTCCTGTATCTTCTTTTCTCTCTCCAGCTGGTACCTGATGACTGCTTCGTGTTGTGGCAGGCTTCCCCCCGTGTACTCGCACACACGCAATCTTTCGGCCCTCTCTTGCTCTTGCTGTTTTTTGAACTGGAACAGGGCCGATCTTCTGTTTCTCTGAAGGAGGAGGAGGTGTGGGTTGAAACATGAGTGCAGCGCGCATGCCTTCCCCTCTACCAACCTCAGGGAATTTTCTCCGACCCTTGTCTAATAATTCCAAGGGGTGCTGTTCTTTGAACTGGAGCAGGGCCGTGTTATCTTGGTCCACTTCGGTGGCCAAAACAGCACTTGGAAACTCACTGAATCTACCCTGGGCCCTCAGAATCTTCATTCGGGTGTTTTCAGCGATCTTCTGTTTCTCTGAAGGAGGAGGAGGTGTGGGTTGAAACATGAGTGCAGCGCGCATGCCTTCCCCTCTACCAACCTCAGGGAATTTTCTCCGACCCTTGTCTAATAATTCCAAGGGGTGCTGTGTTTTGAACTGGAGCAGGGCCGTGTTATCTTGGTCCACTTTGGTGGCCAAAACAGCACTTGGAAACTCACTGAATCTACCCTGGGCCCTCAGAGTCTTCATTCGGGTGTTTTCAGCGATCTTCTGTTTCTCTGAAGGAGGAGGAGGTGTGGGTTGAAACATGAGTGCAGCGCGCATGCCTTCCCCTCTACCAACCTCAGGGAATTTTCTCCGACCCTTGTCTAATAATTCCAAGGGGTGCTGTGTTTTGAACTGGAGCAGGGCCGTGTTATCTTGGTCCACTTTGGTGGCCAAAACAGCACTTGGAAACTCACTGAATCTACCCTGGGCCCTCAGAGTCTTCATTCGGGTGTTTTCAGCGATCTTCTGTTTCTCTGAAGGAGGAGGAGGTGTGGGTTGAAACATGAGTGCAGCGCGCATGCCTTCCCCTCTACCAACCTCAGGGAATTTTCTCCGACCCTTGTCTAATAATTCCAAGGGGTGCTGTTCTTTGAACTGGAGCAGGGCCGTGTTATCTTGGTCCACTTCGGTGGCCAAAACAGCACTTGGAAACTCACTGAATCTACCCTGGGCCCTCAGAATCTTCATTCGGGTGTTTTCAGCGATCTGTTTCTCTGAAGGAGGAGGAGGTGTGGGTTGAAAAAAGAGTGCAGCGCACATGCCTTCCCCTCTATCAGCCTCAGGGAATTTTCTCCGACCCTTGTTTAATAATTCCAAGGGGACCCTCGGGGCTAAAACACCAACTCTGTATTTGCAGTCCTTGGTAGACATTTTCCTGTGAAAAGATCTGCAAATCACTTTAAGTGACTAAGTACAGACTGTCAGCCACCTTCACAATCTTCTGACTTTTTGAAGTCTTTGTGATGTCACACTCCAAAGCCATGGAGCCTTATGATGCCAAAGCAATGGAAGCTTTAAAGTAGGTGTTACCATGGAAACACAGAATGAATTATTTTGAATTATTATACCATGACGACGAGCTGTTTATCATGGATTCTTGCGAGTCATGTCATGTGGCACCTGATTTTCCCAGCGGTCTCTCACCTAAGCACCAACCAGGCCTGGCCCTGCTGAGGTGAGAGACCGCTGGGAAAATCAGGTGCCACATGACATAAGACTCACAAGAATCCATGATATACAGCTCGTGGTCATGGTATAATAATTCAAAAGGCCATATATTTATTTTATTTACATTTCTTTTGCATTGTTTACGGACTAATAATTAAATAGTAGCAAACAGTATGGATATCAGCACCTTTGACTTAAAATGTGTATACTCAGTGTTTAAGGCTTAGACAGCTTTGTTCATTGTAATGCCATATATATATATGTCATTACAATGAACATATATATATATTATATATATATATTAGAGCCCGGCCGATATATCGGCTGGCCGATATTATCGGCCAATATGGGCACTTGGAGACTTGCTGATATGGGCTGATATTTCACGTGGGCATGTTATATCTCGTTATAAAGCTTAGACATTATGTTCATTTAATTAATCCAATTTACAGACAGATAAATGTCCTAATATGTGGCTCCGCATCAGTATTTATCTACTTTGTAATTTGTCTGTGTGTGTCCGTACTGTCCCTGAACACACCACCAGAGTGACGTCACTTCAATCGCGTGTGTTTTACACCCGCAGCCGTGCGCAACACTGAGATTATTTTCTTTTTCGAACAATCGGTTTGAGTCTGGATTAAAAGGACATTTATTAGTGCAGACTTGTGATGTGAGGAGGAGCCTGTGTGAGCGGTGAGTGTTGGAAATACATCGACTTTGAAGCTAGTTTAGGTTTTGTTAGCAATTAGCTGCTGTAGCTCCCGCACATAAACAGGCTGTTTTCTATTGGTCTATTGTAAAGTGACTACATTGGCCGTATATTTGTTACTGGACCTGCATTGATATGTAAATGAGCTGTGAATAGACGTGTGAATGATCCACATTTATGCATATAATTAATTACCGCGGTGCGCACGTTTTTACGGCTAAAGGCTAATAGCGATAGTTTACTAGCTAGGAGTTATGGGTCGGTCGCGATCGAAGCGGCTCTTAGATCCGGCTCTTTGAAGCGAACAATGGGAGCATGTTTCTTATTGGGAGCCGTGTTTTCTCTTTTTCTCACTTTTTCTCTTCATGCCGCATGTAGACCCGTAGTAGTTTGACAGCAGCAGCGGCTGAAAACGAAACTTTCAGAAATCTGCGTGTGCATAGGATAAAAAAAGTGCATATTTGGCTGCAGTTCAGCATAAAATGAATAAACCAGGACTAATCTTGGGCTCGAGTGCAGGAGAAAGATAGAAACCGAGTCCTGCATTCAGTCCTGGTTCAGTTCTGGTTTAGTCCTGCTTGCAACAAAACAATCTCAAGAGTCGCTTGGGAGCCGAAAGAGCCAGCTGCTTTAGTGAGCTGAGCCGGTTCTCCAAAAAAAACTGGAATACCCATCACTAGCAGTGACAGTAACAGTAGCTAGAATGTGATGCAAAAATGCCATTAGGCCAATCTACTGTATGTAAATATGATGTAAAGAGTCAAAATAACAATAAATGTTGCCTAAATAAACCCAATTTAGAATTCACTAGAGCCAAACCTGTTTTTTAATCAATTCAAGATTTACAGTGAATTTTTACATCACTAAATATATCGGCGATTATATCGGCTATTGGCAGCCCCAACTCCCATTATATCAGTTTCATATCGGCCACAACAAAATCCATATCGGTCGGGCTCTAATATATATATATATATATATATATAATATACCAGAAGCTTTTTTGAGCGAAAACATTTCGCAGCTTATCCAAGCTGCTTCTTCACTTCTGGTCAGATGCTGGTGGATACTGCCTTATATTTGCCT